CCCACCTGTGTGCCCTCCCCACCTGTGTGCCCTCCCCACCTGTGTGCCCTCCCCACCTGCGCCCTCCCCACCTGTGTGCCCTCCCCACCTGTGTGCCCTTCCCACCTGCACCCTCCCCACCTGTGTGCCCTTCTCACCTGCACCCTCCCCACCTGTGTGCCCTTCCCACCTGCACCCTCCCCACCTGTGTGACCTCCCTTCCTGTGCCCTCCCCACCTGTGTGCCCTTCCCACCTGCACCCTCCCCACCTGTGTGCCCTTCCCACCTGTGTGCCCTCCCCACCTGTGTGCCCTCCCCACCTGCGCCCTCCCCACCTGTGTGCCCTTCCCACCTGTGTGCCCTTCCCACCTGCACCCTCCCCACCTGTGTGCCCTTCTCACCTGCACCCTCCCCACCTGTGTGCCCTTCCCACCTGCACCCTCCCCACCTGTGTGACCTCCCTTCCTGTGCCCTCCCCACCTGTGTGCCCTTCCCACCTGCACCCTCCCCACCTGTGTGCCCTTCCCACCTGTGTACCCTTCCCACCTGCGCCCTCCCCACCTGTGTGCCCTCCCCACCTGTGTGCCCTCCCCACCTGCGCCCTCCCCACCTGTGTGCCCTCCCCACCTGTGTGCCCTTCCCACCTGCACCCTCCCCACCTGTGTGCCCTTCCCACCTGCACCCTCCCCACCTGTGTGCCCTCCCCACCTGTGTGCCCTCCCCACCTGTGTGCCCTCCCCACCTGCGCCCTCCCCACCTGTGTGCCCTTCCCACCTGTGTGCCCTTCCCACCTGCACCCTCCCCACCTGTGTGCCCTTCCCACCTGCACCCTCCCCACCTGTGTGCCCTTCTCACCTGCACCCTCCCCACCTGTGTGCCCTTCCCACCTGCACCCTCCCCACCTGTGTGCCCTTCCCACCTGCACCCTCCCCACCTGTGTGCCCTCCCCACCTGTGTGCCCTCCCCACCTGCGCCCTCCCCACCTGTGTGCCCTTCCCACCTGTGTGCCCTTCCCACCTGCACCCTCCCCACCTGTGTGCCCTTCTCACCTGCACCCTCCCCACCTGTGTGCCCTTCCCACCTGCACCCTCCCCACCTGTGTGACCTCCCTTTCTGTGCCCTCCCCACCAGTGTGCCCTTCCCACCTGCACCCTCCCCACCTGTGTGCCCTTCCCACCTGTGTGCCCTTCCCACCTGCGCCCTCCCCACCTGTGTGCCCTTCTCACCTGCGCCCTCCCCACCTGTGTGCCCTCCCCACCTGTGTGCCCTTCCCACCTGCACCCTCCCCACCTGTGTGCCCTTCCCACCTGCACCCTCCCCACCTGTGTGCCCTCCCCACCTGTGTGCCCTCCCCACCTGTGTGCCCTCCCCACCTGCGCCCTCCCCACCTGTGTGCCCTTCCCACCAGTGTGCCCTTCCCACCTGCACCCTCCCCACCTGTGTGCCCTTCTCACCTGCACCCTCCCCACCTGTGTGCCCTTCCCACCTGTGTGCCCTTCCCACCTGCGCCCTCCCCACCTGTGTGCCCTCCCCACCTGTGTGCCCTTCCCACCTGCACCCTCCCCACCTGTGTGCCCTTCCCACCTGTGTGCCCTTCCCACCTGCGCCCTCCCCACCTGTGTGCCCTCCCCACCTGTGTGCCCTCCCCACCTGCGCCCTCCCCACCTGTGTGCCCTCCCCACCTGTGTGCCCTTCCCACCTGCACCCTCCCCACCTGTGTGACCTCCCTTCCTGTGCCCTCCCCACCTGTGTGCCCTCCCCACCTGTGTGCCCTCCCCACCTGTGTGCCCTCCCCACCTGCGCCCTCCCCACCTGTGTGCCCTCCCCACCTGTGTGCCCTTCCCACCTGCACCCTCCCCACCTGTGTGCCCTTCTCACCTGCACCCTCCCCACCTGTGTGCCCTTCCCACCTGCACCCTCCCCACCTGTGTGACCTCCCTTCCTGTGCCCTCCCCACCTGTGTGCCCTTCCCACCTGCACCCTCCCCACCTGTGTGCCCTTCCCACCTGTGTGCCCTCCCCACCTGTGTGCCCTCCCCACCTGCGCCCTCCCCACCTGTGTGCCCTTCCCACCTGTGTGCCCTTCCCACCTGCACCCTCCCCACCTGTGTGCCCTTCTCACCTGCACCCTCCCCACCTGTGTGCCCTTCACACCTGCACCCTCCCCACCTGTGTGACCTCCCTTCCTGTGCCCTCCCCACCTGTGTGCCCTTCCCACCTGCACCCTCCCCACCTGTGTGCCCTTCCCACCTGTGTGCCCTTCCCACCTGCGCCCTCCCCACCTGTGTGCCCTCCCCACCTGTGTGCCCTCCCCACCTGCGCCCTCCCCACCTGTGTGCCCTCCCCACCTGTGTGCCCTTCCCACCTGCACCCTCCCCACCTGTGTGCCCTTCCCACCTGCACCCTCCCCACCTGTGTGCCCTCCCCACCTGTGTGCCCTCCCCACCTGTGTGCCCTCCCCACCTGCGCCCTCCCCACCTGTGTGCCCTTCCCACCTGTGTGCCCTTCCCACCTGCACCCTCCCCACCTGTGTGCCCTTCCCACCTGCACCCTCCCCACCTGTGTGCCCTTCTCACCTGCACCCTCCCCACCTGTGTGCCCTTCCCACCTGCACCCTCCCCACCTGTGTGCCCTTCCCACCTGCACCCTCCCCACCTGTGTGCCCTCCCCACCTGTGTGCCCTCCCCACCTGCGCCCTCCCCACCTGTGTGCCCTTCCCACCTGTGTGCCCTTCCCACCTGCACCCTCCCCACCTGTGTGCCCTTCTCACCTGCACCCTCCCCACCTGTGTGCCCTTCCCACCTGCACCCTCCCCACCTGTGTGACCTCCCTTCCTGTGCCCTCCCCACCAGTGTGCCCTTCCCACCTGCACCCTCCCCACCTGTGTGCCCTTCCCACCTGTGTGCCCTTCCCACCTGCGCCCTCCCCACCTGTGTGCCCTCCCCACCTGTGTGCCCTCCCCACCTGCGCCCTCCCCACCTGTGTGCCCTCCCCACCTGTGTGCCCTTCCCACCTGCACCCTCCCCACCTGTGTGCCCTTCCCACCTGCACCCTCCCCACCTGTGTGCCCTCCCCACCTGTGTGCCCTCCCCACCTGTGTGCCCTCCCCACCTGCGCCCTCCCCACCTGTGTGCCCTTCCCACCTGTGTGCCCTTCCCACCTGCACCCTCCCCACCTGTGTGCCCTTCCCACCTGCACCCTCCCCACCTGTGTGCCCTTCCCACCTGCACCCTCCCCACCTGTGTGCCCTTCCCACCTGTGTGCCCTTCCCACCTGCACCCTCCCCACCTGTGTGCCCTTCCCACCTGCACCCTCCCCACCTGTGTGCCCTTCTCACCTGCACCCTCCCCACCTGTGTGCCCTTCCCACCTGCACCCTCCCCACCTGTGTGCCCTCTCCTCCTGTGCCCGCCCCACCTGCGCCCTCCCCACCTGTGTGCCCTCCCCTCCTGTGCCCTCCCCTCCTGTGCCCTCCCCACCTGTGTGCCCTTCCCACCTGCACCCTCCCCCCCGTGTGCCCTTCCCACCTGCACCCTCCCCACCTGTGTGCCCTTCTCACCTGCACCCTCCCCACCTGCGCCCTCCCCACCTGTGTGCCCTTCCCACCTGTGTGCCCTTCCCACCTGCACCCTCCCCACCTGTGTGCCCTTCCCATCTGCACCCTCCCCACCTGTGTGCCCTTCTCACCTGCACCCTCCCCACCTGCGCCCTTCCCACCTGTGTGCCCTTCCCACCTGTGTGCCCTTCCCACCTGCGCCCTCCCCACCTGTGTACCCTTCCCACCTGTGTGCCCTCCCCACCTGTGTGCCCTTCCCACCTGCACCCTCCCCACCTGTGTGCCCTCCCCTCCTGTGCCCGCCCCACCTGTGTGCCCTCCCCACCTGTGCCCTCCCCATCTGTGTGCCCTCCCCACCTGCACCCTCAGGTCCTTACCTGCACCCTCCCCACCTGCGCCCTCACTTTTGAATCTGTGTCCTTACATTCTTACCTGCATCCATTCATGATCCTTGCTGGCATCTGTTGTCAGGGTGATTTCAGATGATGGCTTTGCATCCTGTAGTCAATTCTATGACTACTAGTTTGCTGTCTTTCTTTTATACTATGTAGAAATAAATGTAAGTATGTATGTTAGGCGTGTATGTCGGCATGTTTGTTGGCTTGTGTAGAGGCTTGTATGTATTATGTAAGTGTGGGCACATGGCCCCTTACTCTCCTCAGTGGCTTACAGCCATTTGCTGCCTCTGTTCTGCTCAGAGCATCCCGGGGGAGGGGCGGGGTGTCCTTGGAACTGGTTCCTTGCTCTCTGTCATCGTTCTGTGAGCCCTTTTTTGCTTTCTGGTGAAGTAAACCCGGAGTCAGCCCTTTCTCCAGGGAGTCTTGGCTCCTCTTAGGAAAAAACACGTAGAAACCAAGATCCGCGCAGTGAGAAGTGCTCGCTGTGCAGGACGCCCGGCCCCAGGCCATGCCGCCAGGCCCAGCAGGGAAGCCTGGCCCTGGCCCCTGGTGCGTCCCCGAGGCGGCCCTCCCGTGCACCGAGCTCGCGGGAGCTGGCTGTGCCTCTGCATTGGTTATGGGCGGACTCAATATATACAGTAAAAGCTTCTCTTTTTAGCTAAACGTTTGGTCTTTTACTAAACCAGCTAAGTTTTATTTTATGAAAATTTCCACCCAAGGGGATATGTCACTGTCATTGGTGCAAATGTATGTAAATCTTTTTAAAGACACCTTATTGATTTTCATGGAGCCAATCGTAATGCTCTATGTTTGAATCCCTGAAATCCAACTTGGCTAAAAACAAACACCTGCTGTGCATTCACTGAGTTCATAGCCATCAGCCACTTAGGGAAGGGGAAGGAGTCCGAAGGCCCAGAGCTTCCCAGGAGAATGCTGCTCTGTGTGCTTTGTTAGGCAGCTTTAATGTCAGCGTTTTATGTTTCAAACTGAAAAACGCTGATGCTCTGAAACCCTTCCCGCCGGGAGGCTGGTTAAGGAAAGCAGAGCCCTGACCGGTCTCCGCCCGCAGGCTGGCTGCTGCGACGGGAGCATCAGGCTCCACCAGCTGGCGTCGGAGCGGCCGGTGATGCAGTGGGGCCTCGGCACCGAGGGCCGTGCCATCACCAGCCTGCAGTGGTCCCCGACCCGGCCGGCCGTGTTTTTCGTCCAGGACGACGCTTCCTGCATCTACATCTGGGACCTCCTGAAAAGCGACCTGGGGCCCGTAGCCAAGCAGCCCATCTCTCCAGACAGGTGGGTCTGAGGGCGCGTGCCGGCTGCAGTGCCCTGCAGAGCGCCTGGTGGTGATGTTAGAATGTGGCGATGTTGGCTAAGGAATGTTCTAGTGTCAGTGTCAGTGATACTACAGACCATTCGAAGGTAAGCTGGTTCAGTTTAACCCAGAGTAGTCCCTGGACCAAAGAATTCCCCGTCGCCGTCGTTCTTCGGAGAAAGGAAGAGGCCGTGAGCTCCTCAGTCATGTCGCTCGCTGGCCACAGGTTCCGTGTGGGCATCTGCAGCCCCCCATCTGATATCCCAGCCGTGGCCTGGAGTCCGCCGTGGCGCTCTGTCAGGCAGGTGACTCCTCTGCCAGCGTGTGGCCGTGCGGGCCCGGGGACATGGAGATGGTTGTGGCAGCCTGCAGCAACCCCTGTCTTGTTTTATTCGTGGAAACTAGAGCTACTTCTAAAGCCTGTCTCTGAAGGCTTCTCTCCTGACCCACTTTGTCTGCTCCCTGTCCTTTCCTGAGACTTTGTATTTCTCGGCGGTAATTGCCTGACTGTGATGGCCCGAGCAGCATGGGGAGGGCGGACACCCGGTTGGAGAGTGATGGAAACAGGATTGTGCTGGGTGTTAGGGACACAGTGACAAGATCTGGAAAACATTAGGTGTATACTTTATGCTAATGATTTAAACACACACAATCAAAATCCATGGCACCCTGTGGTTTACTTCTAAGCACATATATGCATGTAGTTTATTCCCAAAGGCTTGTCAGTTATTCAGTAAAGCAAGCACTACTGAGCACCCCGCACGCCTGGCACCAGGCATTCAGTGGACCAGCGAGTGGGCTCACGTCCTGGAGGGCCAGAGGGGTGAGAGAAATCAGGCTCCCAGTGGGATGGGGAGGAACGAGGAGGCCGGGTGTGCGCCAGAGGGAGTCAGGACTTGTAGTGGGCAGGAAGGCAGGCCTAGCTGAGGGGGTGCGTCTGGCAGAGACTTGGGAGACAGGGTCTTGGGACCGGCGGGCCTACCAGTGCTGGGCCAACTGAGCCTGACCGAACCCTGACTCCCACCTCCTGCATGGACAGCGGTCAGTCCGTCATCCGGGCTGAAGCTACCCAGCAGGGAGCAGTTCAGACCAAGGGAGCGAAGTGAAGGCAGATGTGATCTAGAACATTCACGTCTAGACACTGCCTGCCTCAGTGGTTAGCGGCAAGCAGTGGTTAAGTAATAATATTCACAGAAAGTGCCCGATTATTTTTCTCCAGAGTTTAAAGGCAGAGTGTGGATGAAGGCAGAACTTGCCGCTCGAGGCCAGCTACAGTGATTATAACCGCGCTGTGCCTGGGCGCTGGGTCTCCAGCCCAGCGCTGCTTTGCCTTCTGCCCCTTCGCCTGCGTTCCGTCCGGCGCACAGGTTCGAAGCACGCTTTATCTTAGTGTTGTCTCAAAGCACATGTAATTGGCCCTGACAACCTGGCCAGTGTCTTCGGCGGTTGGAGTGGTGGCCTGAGCACCAGAGGGTCTCGGGTTTGATTCCTGGTCAAAAGCAGGTACTTGGGTTTCAGGCTCACCCGCAGGGGCACATGCAGGAGGCAACCCATGGATGTCTTTCTCACATCAGTGTTTCTCTCTTTCCCTTTCCCTCTTTCCCCCTCCCTCCCACTCTCCCTAGAAACCAGTCAGTGCTAACAGCAGACAGTGAGGAGCGCTGTCTGCAGAGTTCAGCCCTAGCTCCTCCTGGTCCCCTCCGCCCTTTCCGCTTCGTTCCTGGAGTTTCCAGCTGGCGGCAGTAACTGAGCAGCAGTCTTACATGCTCAGTGGGCTAGCAAGTCTCAAGATTTGTAATTTTCAAGATTCATTCCTTTGTGGGCTCAGGAGGGCTGAATTCTCCCTGTGCTGCTGTTCAGCGCTGCGGTGGCTCCCGACCTGGGCCAGCCGCCGTGCCAGCCTGCCTGAGGCTGCACAGATGGGGGGCGAAGGACGCGAGCGCGTGGGGCTGCTGCTCAGGCTGGGCTGTCTGTCTGTCCAGGAACAAGTCCTTTGTCCCAGCAGTGACGGTGATGCGTGCAACAGGCCTCCCGGTTAGGAGTTTTCAGAATGGATTCCAGAGACTTCCCGGTGTTGGCTTCTGTTCTGACCTTTTGCTCTGTCTCCCGGCAGGGCTTAGACTCTCATTCACTCCCCTGAGTGCAGCCATGAGCCTCGCAGTCATGTGGCCTCTCTTCCAGGCTGGTGGCCATGGCGGTTGTGGGCGAGCCAGACAGGACCAGCGGCGGCTTCCTGGCCCTGGTGCTGGCCAGAGCCTCTGGCCACATGGATGTCCAGTTCTTGAAGAGGAAGTGGGTGGCCCCCATGGAGGACGAGCAGAGGAGACTGCAGCTGCTTCTGCAGAAAGCGCTGTAGGGTGAGCAGCCGGCGTCGGGGGACAGCACCTGGAAGGGCCCGTCCAGAGGGGCCCGTCACCCCTGTGCGTGTGCGTAGAACATGTATATTCTGTACATAATTAATTCATTTTACAGGCTGTCACAGCTGTATTCCCAGTAAATAAATTACCATTTTTGAATGGAAACATTTGTAGTGTGTCCTGAACTTTAAAGGAAATACAGTCGTGCAGTACACTCTTTTCTTCTTTTTTTTAATTAAAAAAAATATATATTTTATTGATTTTTTACAGAGAGGGATAGAGAGTTAGAAACATCGATGAGAGAGAGTCATCAATCACTCTCTTGCACACCCCCTACTGGAGATATGCCCGCAACTAAGGTACATGCCCTCGACCGGAATCAAACCAGGGACCTTTCAGTCCGCAGACCAACGCTCTACCACTGAGCCAAACTGGTTTCGGCAAGTACACTCTCTTCTGAGAATAGTTCTGCTTATTTTTATTTATTTATTATTTTATTATTTTTTTAAATCAATCTTTATTGTTCATATTATTACAAAGGTTCCTCATTTCTTCCCCCCTCCACCAGGTTCCCACCCCACCCTCCGCCTCCTCCCCATCCCCCATTGTCCTCATCCATAGGTGCACAGTTTATGTTCAGTCTCTTTTCCCTCCCTTTCCCCGATAGTAAATCCCTTTTCAGATAGTAAATCAGTTACTTAGCATTTTCTCATATCAATAATACCTCCACATGCCCATGATACACTTCACACAAAAGACATTTCCCAATAGGTCCACCAGCCTCATCCAGGCCCCACCCAAGGCACTCACAGATCAACACCCCAGCCCTATACTAACTCAACACATCCAGCTCTAAGCCTTCATCACTTGATTCAGCAGACCCTCAAGTTCCCACGAAAGTTTCCAGCCATGTCTGAGAGGCAGCCGTGGGGCAGGGGCAGGCGAGGAGCGAGCTGTTCCGGGCCTGGCTGCTCAGGGCCTGGCTTCTGTTGCTCTGGTTCGTTCCAGCAGCAGCCTACAACCAAGATTACTCTACCCAGCAAAGCTGACATTCAGAATTAAAGGTCAAATAAAGAGCTTTACGGATAAGAAAAAGCTTAAGGAGTTCATTACCACCAAACCAGTATTATATGAAATGCTGAAAGGTATTCTTTAAGAAGAGGAAGGAAGCTGAAACCCGTTTGGCTCAGTGGATAGAGTGTTGGCCTGCGAACTGAAAGGTCCAAGGTTCAATTCCAGTCAAGGGCATGTACCTTGGTTGTTGGCACGTCCCCAGGAGGGGTGTATAAGAGGCAGCTGATCGATGATTCTCTCTCATCAATGCTTCTCTCTATCCCTCTCTGTAAAAAATCCATAAAATATATTTTTTAAAAGAAGAGGAAGAAGAAGAAAAAGGTAAAGATAAAAATTATGAACAACAAATACATGTCTATCAACAAGTGAATCTAAAAATCAAGTGAATTAAAAATCTGATGAACAGAATAAACTGGTGAATATAATAGACTCAGGGGCATAGAAAGGGAGTGGACTGACAATTCTCAGGGGGAAAGGGATGTGGGAGGTGTGGGAAAAAACTGGACAAAAATCGTACACCTATGGATGAGGACAGTAGTGGGGGAGAGTAAGGGCAGAGGATGGGGTGGGAACTGGGTGGAGAGGAGCTATGGGGGGAAAAAAGAGGAACAATTGTAATAATCTGAACAATAAAGATTTATTACATTTATTTAAAAGATAGACCAGCAGTGGGTTTGGTTGTGCATGGTGCATGGGTTGGGAGCAGAGCCCAGGCCAGGAACAGGTGCTGCTACTAGCGACCATGGGGAACATGTTGGCCACTAGCTGGCCACCCGCAGGGCCACTGCCGCTGCCCACGCCTGCCCTCGGGGGTCTGCTGCCACCTCCACCCTGTCCTCCGAGTTTCACACTGCCGCCGCCAGGGACAGCCTGGTGCTGGGGCTGGTGCCCATCAAGGTTCAGAACGGATGCCCAGGACACCTGCAGGGACCGTGGACGATGGGGCCTGTGGCTGCCTTCCCAACCCCTGAACATACGAGGAATGCCACTGCAAGTGCCAGGAGCTGTTTCCTATTCAGATGGAAGGTGTCAAGATCACTGTCAACAAAGGGTTGAGTAACCATTTCCAGGTAAATCACACAGTAGCCCTCAGCATAATCAGGGAGTCCAACTACCATTTTGGGGTAACGTACTTGGGGACAAAGCCTCTGAGTCCCATGGAGGCATTCCCCGTGTTGGTGGGCGACAAGGACAATAGTGGCAGCCTCAGGTCATTCACCAGCCAGGCCCTGAATCAGGTCCCAGATGACCATCCAGACCCAGCAGTCCAAATTTGTGAAATGGCAGGTGGATGGGGAATACCGGGGTTCTGACTTCACAGCAGCTGTTACCCTTGGGAGCCCAGAAGTCCTGGTGGGTTCAGGAATCCTCATGACCCACTACCTCCAGAGCATCACACTGTGTCTGGCACTGGGCAAAGAGCTGGTCACCCCCAGCGGCCTGGGAGGAAGGTACTATCATGCCTATAGCTGGGAAATACACGTTGAACAACTGGTTGGCAATAGTAACTTTGGGCCAGGTGGACATGCACACAATGTACTTTCACAAAGCCAGTGACCAGCTGCAGGTAGGCGTGGAGTTTGAGACCAGCACAGGGATGTAAGGCACGAGTGTCTCCTTCTGGACTTGCCCAAGGCCAACCTCCTCTTCAAAGGCTCCGTGGACAGCACCTGGATCGTGGGCGCATGCTGGAGAAGCTCCCGCCCGGCCCTGAGGCTGGCCCTCGGGGCCTTCCTGAATCACTGAAAGAACAAGTTCCAGTGTGACTTTGGCCTCACCAGTGGCTGAGCCCCTCCTGGCTCCTGCCTCCCACACCCTCCCTCCTAGAGATTCCCCTTGCCACTCCCCCAACAGAGGGGAGACCTACACGTCCCTCTATCTCGCTTCCTTCCCTTCTTGGTGGTCAGGGAGGGGGCAGGGGAACAGAGGGGGCCATCACCCCAGCAGCTGAGGGTGGAATTATAGAACCAAGGGCATTTCAGGATTCAGTGCACCAGGAGCTGTGCGCCCAGTGGACCTGGGGCCCCTAAGGGGTTCTGGAATCAAAGGGCACACCAGATTCTGAGCACCAGGGGCAGAGGTTGCGAGACAACCTCAGGGAGGTATCGGAGCATCTCCACTCCCACCCCCGAAGATCTTGGGGCCCCGCATCAAGAAGAGGAGCTTCCCCATCCCAGGGCTGCCCCCCACCCACTTTCCCATCCACTCCTTGGTATAAATCATGTTTATAAGTTATGGAAGAACTGGGACATTTTACAGAAATATATATATAAAGATAGACCTTATATTGTGTCATAGGCAAAGACTTCAAATTCAAGAAGATAGAAATCATATCAAGCATCTTCTCAGATCACAGTGGCATAAAACTGGAAATCAACTGCAATAAAAACAATCCAAAAAATCAAACAAATGGAGACTAAATAGTGTGCTATTAAACAATGACTGGGTTACCAGAAACATCAAAGAAGAAATAAAAAACATCCTAGAAACAAACAACAATGAAACCCAACAATCCAAAATCTATGGGACACAGCAATAGCAGTCTTGAGAGGGAAGTTCATAGCTCTACAAGCCTACTGCAAAAAAGAAAGAAAGAAAGAAAGAAAGAAAGAAAGAAAGAAAGAAAGAAAGAAAGAAAGAAAGAAAGAAAGAAAGAAAGAAAAAGGAAGGAAGGAAGGAAGGAAGGAAGGAAGGAAGGAAGGAAGGAAGGAAGGAAGGAAGAAGGAGGAGGAGGAGGAGGAGAAGGAGGAGGAGGAGGAGGAGGAGGAGGAGGAGGAGGAGGAGGAGGAGAAGGAGAAGAAGAAGAAGAAGAAGAAGAAGAAGAAGAAGAAGAAGAAGAAGAAGAAGAAGAAGAAGAAGAAGAAGAAATAATAATGGTAATAAATTACCTACTCCTTCAACTCAAAGAGTTAGAAAGAGAGCAACAAGAAAAGCCCAGTGTAAGCAGAAGGAAGTAAATAATAAAGATCAGAGCGGAGATAAACAACATAGAGACCAATAAAAAAAATACAAAAGATCAACAAAACCAAGACCTTGTTCTTTGAAAGGATAAACAAGATTGATGAACCTCTCTAACCAGGCTCACCACGAAGCAAAAAGAGAGAACTCAAATAAACAAAATCAGAAATGAACGAGGAGAAATAACAACAGACCCCACAAAATATAAAGTATTGTTAAAAAAAAATACTATGAACAACTCTATTCCAACAACCTGGGCAATCTGGAGGAAATGGACATATTCCTAGAAAAATACCACCTCACAAAACTCAATCAGGAAGAATCTAAACATCTCAATAGGCCAATAACTATGGAAGAAATTGAAGCAATCTCAAAAAGCTTCCAGCAAACAAATGCCCAGGGCCAGATGGCTTCGTAGGGGAGTCTTACCAAACATTCGAGGAAGAACTAAAACATATCCTCCTCAGACTATTCTAAACAATTCAAGAAGAAGAAACACTTCCAAGCTCCTTCTATGAAGCCAGCATTACCCAAATACCAAAACCAGATAGAGACAACACAGTGAGAGAGAATTACAGGCCAATATCCCTCATGAACATAGATGCCCAAATCCTCAATAAAATTCTAGCCAATCGGCTCCAGGAGAACATCACAAAGATCATACACCATGTCCAAGTAGGATGTATCTGTGATGCAAGGATGGTACAATATCTGCAAATCAATAAACATGATACATCACATAAACAAATTGAGAGATAAAAAACACATAGTTATACCAATTGATGCAGAAAAAGCATTTGACAAAAATCCAACACACTTTCTTTCTTTTTTTTTAAAAATATATTTTATTGCTTTTTTACAGAGAAGGGAGAGAGATAGAGAGTTAGAAATATCGATGAGAGAGATACATTGATCAGCTGCCTCCTGCACACCCCCCACTGGGGATGTGCCTGCAACCAAGGTAGGTATCCTTGACCGGGATCGAATCTGGGACCTTTCAGTCCGCAGGCTGATTCTCTTTCCACTGAGCAAAACCGGTTTCGGCTCAACACCCTTTATTTATTTTTTTTTTCAAAATCATAAGAGCTTTATTACTTTTGTCACTTAACTAGAATTATGTATCATTAATCTTTTTGTCTGTTCCTTTTGCAAGTTATAATTATTTAGCTCATAAAAAGCCAATGTTAGCATGTTTAGCTGTTAACATTAATATTCTATTCATCTTTTTAAAAGTTTTTTTTTACTTTTTTAAATTAAATTATTATCTGTGTACATATTTTACCCTTGCCACCCCCATACATACCCTCCCGCCCCAGAGTTTTGTGTCCTTGTACTTATATGCATGTATACAAGTCCTTTGGTTGATCTCTTATCTCCCCCAGATCTCCCTCCCCTCCTCGCTGTAATTTGACAGTTCAATAGCCTTTCTTGATAAAAACTCTCAGCAAGGTGAGAATAGAAGGATCATACCACAACATAATAAGAGCCATACATGACAAACCCACAGCAAACATCATACTCAATGAACAAAAACTAAAACCATTTCCTCTAAGAACAGAAACAAGACAGGGATGCCCACTCTGAACACTCCTGTTCGAAATAGTACTGGAAGTACTAGCCATTGCAATCAGACAAGAAGAAGAAATATAAGGCATCAAAATTGGAAAAGAAGAAGTAAAACTGTCCTTATTTGCGATGGCATGATATTGTACCTAAAAAACCCTAAAGACTCCATCAAAAAACTATTAGACTTAATAAATAAATTCAGCAATGTAGCAGGATACAAAATCAATACCAATAAATCTATGGCATTTCTATACACCAATAGTTTACTTGCAGAAAAATAGACTGAAAAAGCAATCCCATTTAACATCGCACCAAAAAAAATTAAAATACCTAGGAATAAACTTAACTAAGGAGGTAAAAGACCTAAATGCAGAAAACTATAGGACACTAAAAAAGAGATGGAGAAAGACATAAATAGATGAAAGAACATACCATGTTCATGGATTGGTAGAATCAACATCATTAAAATGTCCATACTACCCAAAGATTCAATGCACTCCCCATTAAAATACCAATAGCATATTTCACAGACCTAGAAAGAACTCTCCAAAAATTAATCTGGATTTAAAAAAAGACCCCGAATAGCTGCAGCAATCCTGAGAAAGAAGAAAAAAATGAGAAAGAAGAAAAAAATAGGTGGGATCTCAATATCAGATTTCAACATATATTACAAAGCCACTGTTTTCAAAACAGCCTGGTACTGGCACAAGAACAGACATATAGACCAATGGAATAGAATCAAGAACCCAGATATCAACCCAAACCACTATGCTCAATTAATATTTGACAAAGGAGGCATGAACATACAATGGAGTCAAGACAGTCTTTTCAATAAATGGTGTTGGAAAAATTGGACAGATACATGCAAAAAATGAAACTAGACCACAACTTACACCATACATAAAAATAAATTCAAAATGGATACAGGACTTAAACATAAAACAGGAAACTATAAAAATACTAGAGGCATCCACAGGAAGAGAAATCACAAACATATGCTGAAGCAATTTTTTCACCAATACTGCTCCTAGGGCAATGGAAGCTAAAGAGAAAATAAACAAATGGGACTACATCAAAATAAAAAGCTTTTGTACAGCAAAAGAAACCATCAACAAAACAACAGGAAAGCCCACTGTATGGAAGAACATATTTGCAAATGTTATCAAGATAAATGATCTACACTGTGGAGAACAGGATGGAGTTTCCTCAAAAAACTGAAAATGGAACTCCCATTTAACCAAGTAATCCCACTCCTGGGAATATATCCTAAGAAACTAGAAACACTAATCAGAAAGGATATATACACCCCTATGTTCATAGCAGCACAATCTACAATAGCTAGGATTTGGAAACAGCCTAGGTGCCCATCAACAGATGATTGGATCAAAAAAACTATGGGACAATGGAATACTATGCTGCCATAAAAAAGAAGGAATTCTTATCATTTGCAGCAACCTGGATAGAATTGGAGAACATCATGCTGAGTGAAATATGCCAGTCAATGAAAGAAAAACACCACATGATTTCACTCATTTA